TGCTCCACCACAGCCTCTTGCCACAATGTTCCTCTCTTGGGGCTAGCTAACCATGGACTGAATCTCTGGAAACCATGAGCCAAGTAAACATCTCCTCCTTTAAGATCTGGATGTGGAGTATTGTGTCCCATCCCAGGAAAGCTGACCGAGACAAGGATGGGGGATACCGCTCAAATGGGTAAATGTGGTCCCTGACATCAGGGGCACCTCACAACCTGAAGGATTCTTGAGGTCTGAACCTTCCCAAAGTACCTTTTCCCCTGTGTATCAGAAATTGAGATAATTTGATGGTTGGTATGAATCTTAGGAGTCTATCTCCCACTCTTCATTAGAAATATAACACATACCTAACCCTAAAATAATTATCTTACAGTCTTAGAATTAAGCAACAATTTCCTTATAATTTAAATAAATCTCACATAGTTGTCCATCTTTCTGTATTAAAATATATATATATATGTATGAAATTTATCACAATTAATTCATAGCATTTGCTCTGCCCCCTCCTATACACAGTGGGTGCTCTTGTGGCCACCCCTCCTCACACAGGATATGGCTGGGAAGCTTTTGGTAAGTGAATAGCCCAAGGTTACATGGTAATAAGTTCTGGCTTAAGGTCCTGTCCTCAGGAATCAGGCCTTTCCTGTCTCCTAGAATATATGTATAGGCCTTCACTGACCTGGGAACTAGCAGAAGAGAACTCACGGTGTTTCAGAAAATTCTAAGCAGCCTTTGACTAAAACCTTAACTTTCAAAAAAATAAACAAACCTCAAACATCCCCTCATCAGGCAGCCAGTCAGCAAGTCCATCAGGAGTGATTCTGTTTCATATGCATAAATGAAAATCCAAGTCTTATCTGTCTAGCACATCATCTGAAAACATTACACGTCAGCCAGACGGCACCTGTGAGAAGCCACTCAGCCTGAGCTCTGTCAGCAGAGCTGAGAGCCAAGTGCTGGGCTCCAGACTGAAGAGTGCTCTAGACCTGAGGCGCAGCTCCCCAGGGGACCTAGGACGTTCTGTCTTTCATGGTATAGGTAATCTGTGTACAAACATTAGGCAAAACTGACAAAGTCAACTGAATGACTTGTTGGTTTCTGGATGATGAATTTGTGGCCCAGGACAGGAAAGTACAGACTCTCAGGCATCATTCCCTGGTTCAGACATTGCCCATTTATCAAAGCTCAGGCTCCTTTTGCAGCAGAGACAACCAGGCAGTGGTTACAACTTTCCTGGAGTGCTCCTTTGGGCACTAAACATCTAGTCCCACTGTAAGACTGTGAGTGAGGAAGTCACCAGGCCTGTGGAATGCAGCACCATGCCTCCTGAAGACAGTTGTAATGATAATGAGAAGTTTCAAAGGATGAGAAGAGTTTGCTACAAGGGAGAACATAACTCATCATCTGGTTCTGGATATAAGGAAAGTCTGGCTCCAAACAAGGCTCTCTGTTTGGCTGACTTAGGGGCCTCTCAAACCTCCCTGCCAATGTTTTGTTTTGTTTT